GAACCTGAGATTCCCAGGTTCTCGAATTTGAACAGAATTATTGAAACTGTCTTTAGTTTATGGGAACCTACCCAAAATTCCGAACTATTCTTAAGTTTCAGAACTTCCGAAAAGTTCCTGAAGTTTTCCTGAAGCTAATAGAACCGCATTAAAACTCTGGAAGCATTCCTGAAGTTCTGGGGAAGTTGAAAAAACTGACGGGAGAAGACGGAAGAAACTTTCGTGCGAAGCTAGAAGAAGCTTCCAAGGGAAGTCGAAATAGCTTTTCGGAAGGAATCGGAAAATAACTTACAGGGTAAGGTGGACGGATATTCCAAGGGAAAGTTGGAAGAAACTTCAAAGGAAAGATTAAAGAAATTTCAGGAAGGTCAAAAATTAACGTTTTTATGGACGTATTTTCCACTGAATAAAAGTATTTCCCGATTTTCAGAAATTACCGCGATGAGCCATCAGCTGTTTCTCGACTCCTTGGTAACCAAAAACGGAGAGAAAATTGAAACATTAGTTGAAAGAGTATCAAGCATAAGACATTTTTGTAGATAAGGCAGGCTCCAAAATTTTAATTTTTAAAAAGATAAAAGCCTCATACTATAGTTTCCTCTGACAATTCAGTGCGGGCAGGCAGTAATCATTTTGATTATTAATGAGAAATCTGCATAAATCGGTATTAAAACTCAAAAATCGGTATTCTGAGGAACTTTATCTGTATGCCGGAATCAAGTTTGAAAATCGGTATAAATATCGATAAATCGGTATATCTGGCAACGCTGGTAGGAATAAACCAACGCATGAACAAAAACATCAATGATCGCTGTCATATGTTTATCTTTCTTTTGCTTTCCCTCCTTCATTCACGGGAATGCGTTAGTCTCCATAGCGATGGTTGCTGAGATTGAAATATTTCCAAGAACATGTTTGTAAATGATTTCAAATTGAACGTTAGGCGATGCGGTTTTTTCCATCACTGGTTAGAACTACTGGTCATATTTTTTCTAGTAGATGTGATTGCCGCTTGATATGGTTATGATAAATAACAAATTCACCTATTTAGAACCATATCCTTGAATATCTGGAATCGGTTCTACGGTGGCCATATGGGTCTATGGTTTTCGTTTTCTGAGCCGTTGGTCATATTTCATCGAATAGATGTGTTTTGATATGTCGCTTGTTATGGTTTTGAGAGATATCAAATTTGCCCATGGCGAACCATGATCCGGAATATATAGAACTGGTTCTACGGTGACCATATGGCTCCGTAGGGGTTTTTTTTTGAGTATCATTGGTCATATTTCAGCGAGTAGATGTGATTTAATATGTCACTTGACATGGCAAATCAAAAATCATACGGAATTATAATCCGGAATATCCAGAACCGGTTCTACTGTGGTCATAAAGCTATTCCATTGTTGTTTTGAGTGCCATTGGTCATATTTCATTGAGAAGATGTGATTTGATATGTCGCTTGATATGGTTATGAGAGATATGAAATTTGACCATATGGAACCATAATCCGGAATATCTGAAACTGGTTCTATGGTCGACATATCATTTTATTTCTATGATTTGGAGCCATTGGTCATATTTCATTGAGTAACTGTTATTTGATATGTCGCATGGTATGATTATGGTAGATAATAAATTTGACCATATTGAACCATAATCCGGGACATCCGTAACCGATTCCATGGTACGCATGTGCTTTTATGATTGTTCTCTATCGTTTTTGGGAATCACACAAAAAACAAAATAATATGTTGTCCCAATGATAAGTAAGATATATGATAAAGATCTAAAAAAACACCCCAGTGCCAACTTATTCTTGAATATATAGCAACGAGAGAGGGGCCTAGGCGGAGTACCGTCCAACAGATGCGTGAACCACTCACCGGAAAAAAAATCAATTAAATCGACCATGGTATCTCCCGGATAATTATTTTTTTTTAATATAAAAAGTTTGTCCCGGGTTTTTACGGGTTAAAACAGTTTCGAAAATGATCATCTGAAGGCATGTCTTGTCTAAAATGTTGCATAGCAGATTCTGCCGAAAAATATTGTAGCAATGAGTTTTGGTAACATAAATTTGCCTTATTTTTAAGTTTATTATTTGCTTAAACCAGTCCAAAATAGTGAACAACTAATAAAATTTCGGCCTAGTTACCCATTCAGCCTAATGGACTAATTCGGACTAATGGCGTTTGGCCTAATGACGCATCACCGTCTGAACATAGCATAAAGATCAATTTAGCAATAAATGATATTGACGAGCAGTTTTGGGACGAAATAAAATATTTTTTTGATTTTTCATGCTTAACATAAATAAGACCCGATTTTCTCGAGGTTTTAGAAGCAAAAATATCAAAATATTGTTCCACGGCAAAGTTCGAGTGGTAGGAAACGTTATTTTAAACTGGTCGAACAATGTGATCCATTTGTACTACCCTAGTGGAAGCGAGCCGGATGGCGCCTCATTCGGCAAAGCGGTGGGAACACACGGCAAGAAACGGGGCGGCCAGCTTTCAACGTATTGCCTCGCATAAGAGGAATTCCGGCGATCCTGCGGGGTGATGAAATATTTATTTTCATTTTCATCAACGTTTGTTGATTCATAATAATATCCGATATATTTATTCGATTGCAAAAAAATTGGACGTTTGAGGCCGCAAAAGGATCGTTTGCCGGAAAAACTGATGACAAATGGGATGGCGCCGGAAGTTATTAGAATAACAGATGGATTTTATATTGATTTTTGAAAAACATCCGTGATTTTTGTTTGCCCGGCAGTGCTGATGCTCTACAATGTAACGCTATTGATCACTGTTGGCGCTTGGTAATCGTTACGTAATTATCCAGCAACTGGCATACTCGAAAAGTTACATCCTGAGAAGCACTCTAAATCTTCATCCATCGAAAGCAACGAATTATCGCTGCAGTTGACAAAATTTATTGCCATAATCATAACTTTTGCAACACTTGAGAGTAAATTTCTGCCACTTTCCAATCCGGAAATGGCATCTGCCTGCAGTTGCAGCTAGAGAAAAGTTTTTTGTCATCAGTTATAAAAAACCGTACGTAATCGAGAGGAAGCCATCCGAAAGAGTTCTCCGAGAGGCGAAAACTGAACCAAAAGTAATTGTTTTACACCACGAAGGATAGCCGGAGCTCGGGGCGTGCCAACAAACAGACGACATACTTTTGAAATCTGAATCTTTCGGGGCGGCGGCGGGAAAACGTTGTTTTCCGCATTCACACTTTCGTAAACTATAGCCCGGGGAGAAGCAGGCAATTCAATTAGTTTCATTCCAATTAGCTTCCGGTGAGCTGAGTTTTCAAGCAGGGCAGCCAGCCCCCTTGGAAACTATGCTCCACTATACATGTAGGCACGCAGCACTGCTGCTGCTGCCACGGTGATTCCATTAGGTTAAGTGGCCTCGGCCCTCCTCTTCGGGAGGCCGTTTATTCCGCTTTGGAGAGGTGGGAATTCGTCGCCGGTTTGCCATTTATCCGGGCTTTCAAGTGCTAAATGGGAGAAAACTGAATTTTGTGAGAAGGAAGCTGGCGAGAAGGGGGATGCTGCTTCAATGATGAAAACGCTTTATCTTCACTCAATGTTGTAATTACATTTGGGCGAAAGTTTCCGGTGCTTTTGAAGCCGCATAGTATAGTATAGGAGACGATGTTCGTTTTTGATTCTAGTTTGGAGGATGTATCACTGAGAGATGGAATTCATGGAATTGTCAGTGGAATGGTAATGGGTCATTAGGCCGAATGGGTCACTTGGCCGAATGGGTCACTAGGCTGAATGGGTCATTAAGCCAACATTTTTTATAATTGTTCCCATTTCTTCATCTGACATCTCTATTGTTCCGGTTTAAGATAATAATGAATAGCGAAAAGAAGGCTAAATTATATTTGAGCATTTTTTTATTAAATTTTATTGATATACTTCGAAAGAATATCTCATGTATATGAGCAAGTCAAACGCGCACTTTTTTGCCTGTAGATTTGAAGAAATACTTCAAATCTCCTCGTACTTTGTACGAGTTAGGTAAAGAAGTGTGTGTTTGACTATTATTGTCGCATTAATGGCCCTTCACACTTTCAACTTCTATTCAATTTTCATACTGCCGTACTCTAGCGGAACTATCTACCTACCCTCTTCAGACCTTTCTCTAGCTAATAAATTATCACACTAAAGCTTCATGTTAGATAGCATTTCCAACCAACTATGAAAGTCGTTAACTTCAGTAACATAAAAACACTTTGAATCTTGATTTTTTTTACGTATGATCTCATCTTCATAAATTAGAAAATTTCGAAGCTCAACATTGAGTAGTGTTGCCCTTTTTTCCACAGAGATCTGGAAAAATGTTAACCGTCTCCGAGTGTTTAAGATTATTTCGAAAAACATACAAAAATTATTTTATCACTTTTCGATTGTCGGCCTAATGGCTTTCGGCTTAATGACCCATGCGGGGCCTGATGGCACCCGGCCTAATGACCCTACACCGATGGAATGTAGCATTCAAGTTCATTACTTCAGTTTGTGTCATGTGCTTCGATGATAAACTTTTCCTAAATTTGCGTTATTTTTAATTAGCGTGAAAACAACTTCAAAGCTGACATTTATGAATTCCAAAGTCTAGATTTCATTCTCGAAATTACTACGGTAGATGTAAGGATTTAATTTTATTTCGAGAATTATCTATACTGAATGTCTGTGGTTTTATCCCAGAAGCATGATTACGAGTGCTTGCTACCCCTCCATGTAAACTATCATAAATGGCCTACTGATGTTCTGCTAGCGATAAACTTTACCCAGGCAACAGCAACCTAGCAACCCTCGTTTCACAGAAAAAGGATGGGCCAACTACTACAACACTCGATGTTATCTCATACGTTCAACTTTGGAGTGTTACTCGATTAGCCGTAAAGTTTTCCATCGTTTGGGACTTAGGCTTTGGAAGTGGAATTTTGAATGGTAAGGGAATCATGTTAATTACCTTCGATCGTCGCCGGCAGCAGCGCCCAAGTGCCGAGAAGGACTAACGCCCACAGTGCCTGTGGGTTAGCCATGATTTTGCTGGGATTCTTCTCTGTCTCGCCTCCTGCTCGTCGTTGAAAGTCACTGGTCCAAAGGGAAAAAGTCCTGGGACGTAGGCCGGTATGTCAAAAACTGATCCGTTGTGGCTGGTTCTGTAAAGAGTGGGAAAAAAGGGAGAAAATTTTTCGGTCAGTTTTCAGCAAGCACTCAACAGAACGGAAGGCTGTCGAAAAGTTTTACCCTTCCACAACCGACGGACCCCTTGTCCGTCCATCATTATCATCTCTTGGTTTGGAACAATTACCCTGATGATGAAATTGCTGCCACTTTTCAAATGTCAATAATGATTATTTCTGTCAGGTTATTTTATCATAATTTTTTCGCTCTTTCGATTCAATAGACGTGAAAATCTTTTCGAAAATTATCCAAACAGCAACGGATGGATGTGGGCAGGGAGCAAAGCTCAAGTTTTTCGTTCTCGCTTGAAAGCAGCCGGTAATTGGATTCTGTGGAGAGATTGGAAAAGTTTATCCACCTCCTCCGTGCCTCATCAACCATCATCCCTCCGAAGAAGAACTGATGTTCTCTATCAAAGACATTGCTACCACCTCCACCAGCTCCACCACTGACAACGACGCCGTTGATAATGATGTTGATGATGTCGTCGGGCTTCTGTTCGATGGATCATCTTCATCGGTCTGGTTGATGAACAGCATCGTTGGTTGAGGGTGGCTTCGTACATAAAAAAGGATACCTCAATGTTTATTGGCTGAGCTGTTGTCTGCTGGATGGTGTTTTGATTTGAAGTAATAATTACTATTCAGAGCACGGTGAGTCGCTACTTTAGCATAAGTTTAGATTGGTTAAGTAATATTCTCCCCGAGATTGGCTGTTGGAAATTTTCCTAGGGTGAGGGAAGATTATCCGGTGGTAAAGTTTTTCTATCTGCATTTTATGCATTTGTTATTTTTTTGAAATCGATAGTTTGTATTATAATGGCGTAAAATTCTTTCGAAGCCATTCGAGCAATTCCACGAGATCCCACTGATTAAGTAAGTCTTGAAATTTCATTTAGAAGAATAAATTTTTCAGAAGACATCTTCAAGTTTGGAATTATGGAAATGGTAGGAAGATTTCTTGAGAAAGGAGTTTGAATTTGGTAATATATTATTTATCGTCCAGACTACTCTACTTATTCTTAATCCTATTTTTAAAAACAGTCATAGAAACCGTATAATCATATAGGGTGTCCCAGAAAGTATAAACAAACTTTAAACTCGCCGCCATTTCTACCTCGATGAAGTTTATCAGCTGTTCATCGATGTGTATTGTTGTTTACTTATTGCTTAACAAGCCGCGGCAAATGGTGCACTATTTTCAACCTATCAGTAAGAAAGTGTGGAGAAAATGGAGAAAGTAAGTATCGAAGTAGTCCAAACCGCCATCCGAAAGTTGGGTGAAGAAGTTACCTGCGTTGACACTTCGAATTCTGGCCGTAAACCGGGACCGGTGGACCAAAACGTGGACCAGAAGATCACCAAGCTTTTGTCAATAAGGAAAGTGTCTCTGTTCGAGATTTGGCCAAGAAACTGACAACATCAAAGCGTTCAAGAAGCAGAAGAAACCGAAACGTAGTCAGAAACTACCCGCATCCGTCAAAATGAGCGCTCGGATGCTATATGATAGTCTGCTGTGTGGCAAATTGGCGTGTGTTATCATGGGCGATGAAATATACGTCAAATTGGACTACTATTGACAGGAAGTCGATGCCGATAAGTCCATTTTTACCGAAAAATTTGGTAAGAAGGCCATGGTTTGGCAAGGAGATGATGAACACCGAAATTTACGTTCGTGAGTGTTTGAATCGGCGTCTGTGGCCCATCATCCGTCAAAATGATGGCTCAGTACTATTTTGGTCCGATTTGGTGCCAATGCACTTCTCGAAAGACACGGTAGCTTGGTACAAAGCAAACAATGTGTAATACGTGCCAAAAGAGATGAATCCTCCGAATGGTCCGGAGGCCCGGTCAATCGAAACTTTTGGGCCCTTTCCAAGGGATATCTACGGAAACACTTTGAGGCAGCGAATTCAATCGAAGAATTTGAAATAGACTGGACAAAAGTGGCCAAAAATATCGCCAAGGAATCTGGACTGAAGCTCATGAGCAGCGTCAGATCAAAAGTTCTGTATAAAGATCAGAGAGAGATTTTAAGGGAAGTTTCGTAAACTTTAGAGAAGTTCAAAGATTTTTAGGACAGTTCCAATAAATTTAGGGAAGTCCCATGAACTTCAAGGTAATACAGAATAATTTAGAGATCTTAAGAGTATTTCCATTAATTTCTGGAAAATTTTGTGAATCTTCGAGATGTTCCGAGAACTTCAAGAAGTTTAAAACTTCGACCAAGTTTAATGATTTTCAAAGGTTAGTTCTGAAAACAAAAGGGAAATTAAGTTCATGAAAATTGCGGGTACCTTCAATTAATTCAGTTAGTTCAGATTGACGGTGACGAAATCGATGTGGTCGATGAGTTCGTGTATTTGGGCTCACTGGTGACCGCCGAAAATGATACCAGCAGAGAAATTTAAAACGCGCCCTTCGTGTTTTCGAACGGAAGGTGTTGCGTACCATTTATGGTGGAGTGCAGATGGATGACGGAACGTGGAGGAGGCGAATGAACCACGAATTGCACCAGCTGCTGGGAGAACCATCCATCGTCCACATTACAAAAATTGGGCAACTACGGTGGGCTGGGCACGTCATAAGAATGCCGCACGACGACCCAGTGAAAATGATTCTGGAAAGCGACCCAACAGGAACAAGAAGAAGAGGCGCGCAGCGGGCAAGGTTGATCGACCAATTAGAAGGCGACCTGATTAGCCTGATTGGTAAGGTAAGGTAAGTTCAATTAATACCAAGAATTTAAGAGAATTCAAGAGAACTTCAGAAGAGTTCAGAGATCTTCAGGAAAATTTAAAAAAATTCACATGAGTTCATTGAATTTTATTTAAGCTTAGAGACGAACAATTTCGAGATATTTATGAAACTCCCCAGAACTACCCGTAAAATGTCAGAACCTGACCAGCGTGGCCCTGAGCTTTTAATATGGTCACCAATGATCTTATTTTGGATTTCTCATGAAATTCGATGTGCTGCAGAAGGGGGTTGGTTCAAAAAGAATCTGGCCACTTCTCCCGGGGTACCTCGTACCAAATTTCTGACGAAATTTCAGATAAGGCATTCGAATTTCATGCAAGTTCTACAAAATTCGGGAAAGTCTTACAACTTTCAGGAAAATCATGTGAACTACTGTCTACAGATTTAATGTAATTTCTACGACATTTAGGCATTGCTTAAAATTTAAGGATAATCCTATGACACTTATGGATTTTTCCGAGCTTCAGAGAAGTCTTCAATACTCTTGGGAAGTCCTCTGAACTTAACATAGTTCTCCAAGCTCAAAAAAGTTCCTAGAGCTTCCGAGAAGTCTTTTGAACTACAGGTAGTCCTACGAAATTCATGGGAGCTCTCCAAACTTCAGGGAATTTCCAAGAAATTAAGGAAAAACCCACAAACTTTTGAAAAAACCTTCGATATTTAAAGCCTTATGAACTTCAGGGAAGCTCGACTAAATTTAGGGTCCTCATATATTCAGTTAAGTCCTTCAAACTTCAGGGAAGTCCTCAGATCTTCGAGAAAGTTCTTCGAACTTGAAGGAAGTCTTATGAACTTCTGAGAATTTCTACGAACTTCGACCATCGAAATAAATCACGCACTTGTGTCCACATTTTATTAACTGCACTTGAACACGAGAGGAATGCTTTTCTGTCACCAGTGGTTGTTTACAATTCTGCATTGCTGTATAATACTCTTCCGGTTGCTGTTATTCAACTTAAATTTGACGTGCTCAATGTCAATGATCATACTTTTTGCCACACATATGCTTAAGTGGTCCAGTAGGTATGGTTGACGCCTGTGAATCAGCGACTGCCAGTTCGAATCCCGAAATGCAAAGGTAATTTTTAGACTTATATTAACTATATAAATATGTTAATCCAATTAGTCAGCAACAAGTTAAAACAGTTCCTTATAAATGCATAAGGTATGAGAAGCGGTCTTCCATTCTTATTTTTTAAATAAAACTTAGAAGACTGAACAAGGGTTGAAAAAGATTGTTATGTAATGCCTTAAAATATATATATTAAGATTAAGACGTTTAAAAGCTGAACAAAAGTTAACGTGGTCGAAGGTTGAATTCAAATTGTTACCTGGGAAGGAATGAAGTCATTCAAGGTGAAAATGTTAATACTTCCGACGTCGTCGCTGCCCACATCTACCTGGAGCTTTTCCTTAAAAATCTCCTATTCCTTGTCTCTACTGCTGCCACTGCTTGTAATTAGAAAGGTAGGCAGTGAATTTAGAAGAACTAAAATGCCGGAAATGCAACGAATGACACAGATACTGACGACATTTAACAAATCAAGCTATCAAAATATGTGTAACGCATTGCTGATTTGTGGATTTGTGTTAAACTTAAATAAGGCATGTATAATCTTTCGATCAGCTAACTTATTGAGGTTGGATTATGGGGACACAATTCGCTTCATGTACTACTAATCAACTATATATTCAGCATAATGTTAATCAGCTTTGAACTCCTTAAATCCACCAATAATCAGCTTCTATTCTTACTGTTCAGCTTTAATTGTTACTTGAGTGTGCCGAACCGCAATGATAAGCAGAATGTGACGGCCAAAACACGTGCTAGTAAGTTGTATCGCGATATCAAGGGCTCTTTTATGCTTCACGGAATAATAATGATTATTAGCATGTTTAGTTTTCATGAGACTTTACATAACTGATGATTTGTTGAATATGTCGGGGATGTGCGTATCAAACAAATTCGAGCCCGAGTATTTTTTTCGTGATCAATTACGCGAGGATTTTACAATAAACTGATCAAGAACTTCAATGAGGCTCATTGCTAAAGGGTGGAACAGTAAAAGTGGTCAATCATTGGTTATGTTACTGTACAAATGATCAAACTTTTTTTTTTTTAAGTTCAATGACTACAAAATACAAGACAATTATTTGATGACTAAAATATATACGTACCCTAATTAACAAAGCACAAGCAATAAAACATCTCAAAT